GAGTGTGTGTGTGAGTGTGTGTGTGCGTGTGTGTGTACGTGTGACTAAGAGTGTGTGTGTGTGTGTGTGTGTGTGTATTGTACTCTGGCCAATTTGGCCGAACTGCTTCTGAATCATAACTCTCAGGGCAAACAGTTGTAAAGCGTATCTTTCAGCATCAGTTTAAGCGTGTTAAAGTTCAGTGTTTGAGTGCATGTGGGCGGCGCTCCGTCGCAGTCATTTTAAATAAATCAGACGCTTAGCTGCAATCTACGGTGGATTCTCTCTCCTGGATTATTTTATCTTTAATAAATCACTCCAGCCGCCGCCACACTTATATCTTTAGTTCTCACAAAATGAGACATTAAAAATACATCAGCGACGAGCAAGGACAAATGTGACAGGTCTTGAGCAGATCACAGCGACTGAGACGAGGATCCAGCTAAAAGCAGTGAAATAAGAGCTACGGTAGAAAGCTTCCGTGTGGTTAACTAGTGTTAGTTAGTAGCTGTAAATTATGAGCAGCTTCAGCAGCTCTGAACATCATCAACTGTGATTGACATCTGAAGGAGCCACAGGATGACTTCAATCATTTCATTACATTTCTTAAAAATCATTTAAACTTAATATGCTAAAAACACATAAAACATCAAATTTCAAGAAACTTCCCCACCTCAATAACTAATCTCCTAGAATCAGAATCTGTTTAATTGATTTAGTGCTTCAACACAGGTAGTGTTCATAAACGTTTGGAAACGAGCAGTGCTGTGATAATTAGAGCAGAAACGCAGGAGTGAATCTCCAGTAAGTCTCCCTGTGCTCCGCTCATATTTCACACATTACAGTAAGAACAGTGTTTTCTGAGCTCTTCGGGGATCAGACACAGACGCTCAATCACAGATGCAATTATAGGAAGACTGAAACGCTCAAATCAAATTGACCATTCATAATCATTCGTAAGACGGTCTGAGGTTCCTTCTGCCAAAAGACCATTACTGGCCTTGTGAAGATGCCAATTTTAGCCAAATATTATCTTTATACTGTAATCACTACGATAACAAGCTGTAATCCCTGCACTGCAAAATATGATTTTCTTATTCAGTATATTTTTGTCTTGTTTTCCGTTACAACTATCTAAACAGCCTCGAATCAAGATTAATTTGCTTGAGAAGCAAAATGACTAAAGATATGAAGTCTTGTTTTCTAGGAAACGTATCATGATAAATTAGCTTATGCATAAACGCATAAATTCACTTCATTATGATACAAGACTTCTTATCTTCATGCATCTTGATTTAAGAATCTTTAGATATTTGTGCAAGAAAACAAGTCAGAAATAGTAAGAAAATCATTTTTTGCAGTCTGCCCAAATAGCCTGTGGAACGACTGTTTATCTGAACACATGACTTGTGTTATCATTGAGCTGTTAGTATTTCCACATGAACGTTACTTTGACATGGTCTCGAGTCCCCACTGTAACACTGAAACACAAACTGTATCTAAAGCTGCTTTAAAATCGTTATGTTTTGTGAAGACCCAGAAGCCCAGGGTCTCTCAGGAGTCACTGACCGCATGGATTGATGTCACTCTTGTGAACGAAGTCTGTCAATTTCAAGGCCAAAAGATCAATATTAAAGAGCAAATGAGGAACAGAACGACAGGACATCTGCTCTCAGCACATAAACCTTCATCTGTTCCTCAGCTTCATGATGTGACCCTACAGAAGGAGTCCAATCTGCTGAGGTCAGAGGTCAACACAGCAGCATATGCACACTGGTATGCATTAGTCAAAACACAAACCGGATGCTGCTGACCTACACGGATAAATGCCATTTTCTTTCTTCACTGGAATCAAAAGGTCTAACTTTACCTTTCAGAAAAGTGTGTTTCAAGATCAGAGCGATGGTCCAAAATCTAATCACAGAATCCAATCACCTTACAGGAAAAATGTTCAAAGTATGAAAAAAAACAATGGGTGTGTTCGATGAGTTCTGCTGGATAAAGTGCAAACGGACAGAGTATCTCTCTGTATATGAAGCACACTCTTCCAGCCTAGGGTGATGGCATTATATTCATTAACAACGATGTGAGACAAATATAATGTGATCATATGCTTCTCGTGCTTCTCATACAGCGTGCAACCGCCTTTACACTTATTCTTCTGTATCCTGCAACCAGTGTTACTATTCTCTAAATATTCAACGCCGCACGTCAAAATAAACACTTCTCTCTCAGTAAGTGCCAGCAGTGAATGACTTTTTGGGGTAGCCAATCAGATGTCAGGAGTGTCAAGTGGCTCCGCCTCCGTGACTCTAGATTCAGCCCATTCACAGCCAAGCATCCAAAATGAAGATTTATCACGGGCCAAATGAGAGTGAAAACGAGCTCAAATGGAGGGCCTGTATTAGCTGTATTAGCGGTTTGAGTTCAGCTGTGACCTCTCGAGTGACTCGAGGACCTGGGCTGTATTCCAGAAAGCAAGGTTAACTAACCGTCACAGATAGCCTGAACTCTCGGCTGATTAACCCAAACCTTGCTTACTTGAGATATGCTGGTTCCAGAAACACGTGACATCCATGGTGTGTGAGATGACAATAAAACATAATAAATATATTACAATAAAATAAACATTACCTTGTTATAATATCGATAACTATTATATATGACTATATATGCCAACAACACGTTAACATCGTCAGGGCCGTGCCGATACGACCGTATATCACAGTTTCTTCACTTCAGTCTTTAGGCTCTCAAGGTTACACATTAGCAAGATCCATGAGAAAGAAACAGCAGAAATGGTAAAAACAGCAAATAACTCAATTCCACGAGCTCCCAGAGAAACCTGAGCCGTCGTCGCCATCAGCAGACATTTTGGCACACGGATGCTGAGCGTTTCTACCTTGTATTCCCAGAAGCATTCAGAAGCGTTTGGCTGTGAGACGGCCTGAAATAACACGCTCCTGCTCAGCGTTTTCTGTCCAACATCTCTCGCTCCTGTCAGTCAAACTGTTCCTGACCAATCAGAGAGCGGCGCTCCGCAGATGTCAATCAATGTCCATCGACACGACCCGCGGATCAGAAACACAATCACAGATCACAGCGGCGAGAGACAGACGACACGCTACGCTCGGCTGGAGACGCGGGACACGTCTGGGAGACTGACTGTCAATCTAGAGCGAGGGCCGACAATCACAGGGGCCCTTACAGAGAAACCACTGCGCTTTAGGCTTTATTAAGTAAATGACTTTACGTTCAAATCATTGTGAAAGTTAAATGCACTGATGCAACTCAAATCCTGGCTGAGTAGCTTCATTCATTTGAGCAATAACTCGGTCTGCATTGTTCATTAGCGCGTGGCTGTCATCGTGTTGACAGGTCTGTCTGAGGGCAAACTAACCTAAACTAACCGCTAAACCACAGAACATGTTAGCGGGACGCTGTTATCAGCCTGAGAGACGCTCACCTCCGCGGGCCGAGCTCTAACCTACTTAAACCTGCTCTAATAAAACACAAAAACAAAGCACCTTTAAACAGAAAAATGAAACACCAGCCGCATGCGAGCGGCTCATCGGAGCATTAAAATGAAATAAGTTAGAGCCAGACTCATCATATAACCACTGAAACGCTGCAGCAGAAGATGAAAATATGAGCCGTGCAGCAGGAGAATTAAAGCATTTTCTTATCTGAACAGGAGAGATTATGGGAGGATGATGATCGGGGTTTAATACAGTGATACGAGCACAGAATATCATATTGTTAAACTCCACCAACGCATGTGTTCTGCATGCACACGGACAGAAGCGGCTGCTCCTTAATGAGCACAACGCTGTGCTGTAAAAACTTTCGATGTATGGCACAATATTGTGTAAGGAATATTTAACATTTTCAAAATCATGAAGAAAATACAGCCTAATGTGTTCTGAGTGGTTGCCGGGGTGTTGCTAAGGTGTTCTGAGTGGTTGCCGGGGTGTTGCTAAGGTGTTCTGAGGGATTGCCGGGATGTTGCCAAGGTGTTCTGAGTGGTTGCCGGGGTGTTGCCATGCAGTTGCTAGGTGGTTTCTTACAGTCGCCCCTCAAGATATTGAATGTTCCTTGTTTCTGAAACGATATCTATATATTTACAGAAGCTGAAAACTTATCTCTTCTGCAAACACTTAACTGCATCCTGCTCAAAAATCTTCTTTGCTTTGCTGATTTCTTAATCCCTCCCTGTTCTAGTTTGTTCTATTCTAGATGATATTTGAAACTTTCTATTACGAGCTCTTCTCATGATTATTGACACAAGATGAAGTGTTTGTTGAATTTCTCATTTGTGAGTCGCTTTGGATAAAAGCATCTGCTAAATGAATAAATGTGTAAATACAGACACTGAATATCTATTCTCTTAACAAAGCCTAAAAAACTAATTATTGTTGTGATATTCTTCTGTGCAGCTCAGAAATGCTTGGCTCATGTGGATAAACTGACGTTGTTTATACCAGAATGATTTGACAGTCATAAGAATTTCAGAGGCTTAATGCAGAATAATGGGATTAAAACATTCACACAACGGACGGATGAACAGGAAGATGCTACACAAAGTTTGATCCCACTGAGAGAATCTGGCAGGCTTTTCACTCACACTCATGTCCACAAATAGCCACAGCTGAGATCATTATGAGAAACCCATGAGATCTACAGCGAGGAACTGCTCATGCTCGTTTCCAAGAGCCACCGGCCTCACATTCATGCTGTAGGGGTGTGTGTTTGTGTGTGTGTGTGTAACAAACACAGAATAAGAATCAAACAGGGAGGTGAATAAAAAAACGGTGCAATTATACATATGAAACTATACCTTAGTAACACCTGGCAACCACTCATACATTCCTGTGCTGTATTGTAATTGTAAAATACATATAGGCCTATATATATATTGCAAAAATAATATATATATATATATATATATATATACTGTATATATACAGTATATATATGTAATTTACAATTAAAGTTTTTTACAGCTCATTAAAACTGAATTGAAGAGCAGGTTCTGTCTGTGTGCTTATAAAAACATGCGTTGCTGGGGTTAAACTATTGCAGAAATCATATTCTTTCTGCTGGAGATATCTGTTATTTGTAACGTTACCAGAGCACAATAAACGCAGGCTTTGCATCAGAGTGAAGGCAGTCGTGTAGAATGCGTGTTTGTGCGCAGATCGTCTTTGTTAGCTGGAGTCCCAGTGAAACTGCTCAGTAATTTTCCTTCATATTTCGCTGTTATCAGCTGTTATCACCGCACGCAGGACACTCAGCGCCCAGAAAACACACTTGGCTCCAGCGCTCGGATGCGCTCAGAGCTGCAGGTGCAGGGTCGCGGGTTTGAGTGTGAATCCCGAGAGAAAGATTCCGAGGATCGAGAGCCAAACCCGAACAAAGGCGCAAGATCCGCTCGAACAACGCTTCAATAAACCCTCGCAGAAATCATCTGTTGAGTAATAAATAAGCGCTCGGACGCGCAAACAGCCGCCCAGCAGGTGTAACCGAGCACACGCACGGACGCGTCTCTATACAACACTGGCACCGAAGCAGACCTCGAGCATATGCAGAAGAAAAGCCCCGTTTACCTGCGCGAAGCTGCGGCTGAAGTCGAGCATCATGTTCCGTGATCAGGCAGAATCCTCCATTTCCAGAAGCCTCGGGAGACTCTTGCGCTCGTTGATGTCATCGACGCTCTCCTCCTCGGTACCCTCCTCCTCCTCCTCTTCCTCCTCCTCCTCCTCTTCCTCCTCTTCCTCCTCCTCCTCC